TGATTGTTCGTTCTGCGCACTTTCGTTTAATCTATTTTGTTCTGGATTTAAAAATACATCTTGTTGTCCGCAAACCTACCTACCATTTGCAATAACACATCCAAAATATTTGAAAATCGCTAACAAATTGGCCTAAAGTGCTCAGAATGTTCTTGTTCACACACAATAGAAACACAATATATATATATATATATATATATATATATATATATATATATATATATGTACAGAAGATATCTGTCTGTATGTCTGTCTTTGCGTGTGTGTGTATGTTATTTATGCACGTCCATATTTCTCGACCGATTTCGATGAAGCTGTATACAGATATTGTGAATTTACTAAATTACGTCAAGAACAAAATCTCAATCCCCAGCCCCACCCAACCCCCTGGTTTGGCAGACAAATCGATAAAACAGAAGGTGGGTACGACTTTTTGCAAAAAAAACCCCCAAAAATAAGGCAAAATTACACGCGACCAAAACTTTTACTGTATGTGCTGATGTTCTTTGGACTTAATTCAAAATATAGCACATGTTCTGATGTTTATGTCGAGTCTTTCACACAAAAAAATTACAAAATCTGTGGAAAAAAATCGGGTTTTTAGCATTTTTTTATCCGATTTTCTTCAAACATGTCGACAAAAATGCCATCATGCAAAAAATAACATAGTGTGGTTTTAGTCCAGCTCGCTTCCCCATGTATAAGGAAAATCCGCGGAAAACTGTTTAATAAGCCCGAAAAACGGCCATAACTTTCTGGTTTTTTATCGGAGACTTTCCATATTTGCCATGTAAATTACATATGACATCCAAATTATCTTGCGTGAATGTTTGGTTTAGATTAGAAGTGGACGTAATCTGCGATAAACTAGCTCCAAAATCGGCTTTTTGCCATTTAGCCAAATACTTTCTTCATAGGATTTTATCCTAAATTGGCATTCGAACAACCTTTGATGCAAAGATTGATTAAGGATTATTGAAACGTTATAAGAGAAAAATTCCCGAAGAAGCTCTTATTAATCTCAGCTTTACAGTAAACTTGCGATGAAGGGGTGGGGGCGTTCATGCATTTGCACTTGCAATTGAATCAAGCTCTGACCCTTCATCTCTGTTTCTGTTTGATTATTAGATTTGAGAAACAATCTTTCATGTTAAAACCTGACCAAAAATAACCTCCGAAATTCATCGGAATCACCCTTTTCCACCAGCCTTACATTTTAGCGTCCCTTTGATCTTTGACGTTAAAACCTGACCAAAAATAACCTCCAAAATTTATCGGAATTACCCTTTTCCACCAGCCTTACATTTTAGCGTCCCTTTGATCTTTGACGTTAAAATCTGACCCAAAATAACCTCCGAAATTCATCGGAATCACCCTTTTCCACCAGCCTTACATTTTAGCGTCCCTTTGATCTTTGACGTTAAAATCTGACCAAAAATAACCTCCAAAATTTATCGGAATCATCTTTTTCCACCAGCCTTGCCCGACTTCTTTATTTCTTGTTAAGTAATAATATATTTAAATACGGGTATCCACTAAAAATAACGCTTGAATTAATAAAACTGTCGAATAAAAAAATGAATCCAGTAATTGTTTATCACACTGCTTAATAAAATGAAATAAACAAACAGGGACTGCAACGTGTACCCACTGAAAATAATGAGTACAATAAGAAACAATGGCGGATAAAAAAATCCTTTCAAAAATTACTGTTCGGCTACGGAACTGGAGTTAACAGATACAGATTGGTAGAAGTCCCAACGAGAAAATGTGCTTTCCAACTTTGCTCTGTCAAGCTGATCTCCTTGGCTGAACTGGTAAAGGCACATTTTGGTTTAAAAAGTGGTTTCCCTGATGTGGAAAATGGATGCAGCCCCGGTTCCTGTCAGAGGTACATTTCCCCCTTTAGTAAGATTTTTCAGTTTAGGCCGACTTTTATTAATTTCACTGTTTAAGAAAATAATTTCAGTGAAAAATGAAAAAAAAAAAAAAAAATGGATGCCAACATATAATATACAGTACATATATACAGGGTATCCCTCCAAAATTGACATAATTTTCTAGTCTAATATCATAGCCAATTCTCGTTCAATTTTAACAAGATTTCAAATTTTAACAAAATGTGCAAAAACTAAGAAAGACGACTGTGCGGACTTATCTCATTGAAAATCTACCAAGAAGATGGATCGGGCGTGTTAGTGATAATGACAATGTGTTGTTCAAATGGCCACCACTTTCAACTGACTTGACATTGTGTTTTTTTTTTCTATGGGCTATGTGAAAGGACAGGTCTATATCCCTTCTCTTCCTACAAGCCTAGAGGAACTTAAGCAGAGAATCACTGAGTTGCTACAGAATGTTACGCAATACATGCTACAACGTGTTTGGCAAGTGCTGGACTACTGATTTGACGTGTGCCGTGTCACAGGTGGTGCGCATATTGAACATTTGTGAACTTTCGTGAAAGCGGTTATAAAATTGACATCCCTTTGAATACATTGTTCGAATGTTGACAAAGAAATATTTTATTGTTCAATATGAAGCTTGTTTAATTTCGTTTGCCTGGGATTTGTAGTTACTCAGATATTCACATTTTAGATTATGTCAATTTTTTCGGACTCTCTCTCTCTCTCTCTCTCTCTCTATATATATATATATATATATATATATATATAAATTGTTTAAAGTCAAGATGCAATCGACAGTCTGTTTCATCTAGATGCAATCGTCTGTCGCCTGGATCTGTTGACTTTATGTTCACTTTATATTTACACTCTATCTCTGATATTGAGCACTTTATCCCATAAATATAGCACATCTTAAAACTATATATATATATATATATATATATATATATATATATATATATATATATATATCCGAATGTAATGAGAACGAAAATAATATATAAATTCTAACGTTCACAGCATTGATTCAAAAGAGGGATCAATATCGAGAGTAGAGCAATAATTATTTATTATAATTTTTTTCATATAGACAAAAACAATTTGCTCACGACAAAGATGTAACTTCGTTTCGGTGCATTTAGCTACGAACATAGTCGAAAAAATAAACTCCCATTCTTAGACGTTTTCGTAGAATACAGTAACAACACTTTTATCACCTCATTGTATAAAAAGAAACAAAAAAAAAAAAATACGCGCGCATACACACACACACACACACACACACACACACACACACACACACACACACACACTAGCCGGAACTTTTGCCACCTCAACTTTAAGAGTGAATGCCCACTCAGATACAAAAGAGAGTGATAAAAAATTTCCTAAAAAGAGCACACCAGAATTTATCCTCTCGCCTACTCTTCCTTAAAGAACTTAACAATGCAAAACAGACACCAGCTAACAATGGCTTCCCTGACCACCTTACAGACCACCAAATTAGACTATTTCTTTCCAAAGTAAATAACAATGATAGTGAACACACAGTCAAAAATAACAAATATTTTCTACAAATGCCAAATGCACGTCATGAATCTTTATTTAGAAATGTCATAAAGAAATACACTACCCCAATTGACCCAAACAAAAAAATTAAATTCTCTACTACAAAAAATTTAAAATAGTTAACCTTATCCTCAAAAATAATAACACACCAGCAAAATCAAAATTACAATGAACAAACATTATTTATGAGTTTAAATGCTCCTTAAGGAACTGTTCCTGGTTAAAATGAATTCATAAATAATCACATCGGTCACACTACTACATACCTATCCAGATGCCTTATGTTACACCTATCTGACCACAGCTCCATTAGAACCCATTTAAACACACACTCAAACTTTACCAGACTCCATTCAAAACACACTGGTAGAAAATACAAATATAATAACTTCATCCATATGTAAAAAAAGATTAAAAATAATGGAAGCCTTAATAATAAAGAAGAAAAAGCCAACACACAACAATATTAACTACGAACACGGCTACAATGTGCTGTGTTCAGAAAATAAAACATCACTATAACTCCAGCAACATACACACAACCTATACACCCAATTAAAAAGCAAAAATAAAATCATCCTAATAATAATGGCTAAAATTATAGCCGAAAGCACTCGGAATTACAGAACATTTAGACAGTTTCTACACACTCTCTGTCCAAAAAAGAAAACATTTGTTTGAACACAAGAAAAATTAAATAAAAAGCTTAATCGCAGTACCTTGTCTGTCGCCTTTAATGAAACATGTATAAATGAAAGATTGCTGCTTAAGTATAATATATATATATATATATATATATATATATATATATTACTTCAAACGTTATTATAGGGAACACTTTGTATTTGAAATAGACGTTCCATTCAACCATTCAAATACAAAGTGTCTAAAATAATAACGTTTGAAGCAATGAAAATATCGGATTAAATATATATGTGCACAGAGGGTCAGTTATTAGCTGAATTTGATATGAGATTTTTACTGTAAAATATTAATGTTCGATGTTTAATCAGCACCAGTGAATAAAGTATATTGACAAGGAAGAAGATTATATGCTTTTTTTTATCATTGGACTATTGAATTATTAAAATACCTGCATGTCTATAATAGGATGGATCAATATGCTTGACACAGTTAATAGAAAACCGTTGATTTAGGCTACGAAGTTACTGATGTGCCTGACTGGCTCAGTAAGCATAACACACCTAATAGATTAATAGCGAAGAGTTGGTTTAGGCTAAGGACTTATTGATGTATCTACGCACATAATGGAAGATGGCTGCGGTCCCATAGATACAATATTATGCTGATTGTGAAAGAATGTTACTAAGGGATGAGTTCTTTTCACGAAAGAAACAATCCTTGCATACCTGGGTAGTGAAAAGAAACTAGCGCAGTGTAAGCTAAACACATGATCAGCATTTACCCCATTCTGCTTCAGTGGTCCTTTTTTTACCACATTCCCAGAGTTCTATTACTATAAATATTGGTTCAAATATTTAATGATAAGCTTATACACGTTTCTCAAATATGTATTTTACTCAGAAATCTGTCTTGGTGATAGCCTTTACGAAAGAAACTCGTAAAAGAAGAGGGAGAAAAACGAGAATAGGTTTTATCTAATCGATTGTCAGTCAACATGGCGTAGAGTGATAGCTGTGTTGGAAGCGTCAGGATGAAAAATCGTTGATGCCATTCTGCTTTAGAAAATGCACAAAAAATTCTTTCGTTTGTAACAGAAGAAAGTTGAAAAGAGGACAGAAACAAAGAAAGAAAGAAAAATATAGATAGATAGGTTTGATCAGAATGAAATAGATAAATAGAGTTGAACAGAATAACATCGATAGGTAGATTTGAACAGAATGGCGTAAGATAGATAGATAGATAGATAGATAGATAGATAGATAGATAGATAGATAGATATGAACAGAATGACATAGATAGATAGATAGATAGATAGATAGATAGATAGATATAAACAGAATGATATAGATAGATAGATGAGCAAGTGAATAAGAAGGGAGATATAAAGAGAGAAGACACATATAGATATATAGATATGAATAGATAGATAGATAGATAGATAGCTAGATAGATAGATATGAAAAGACTGAAAGAAAGAAAGAGAGAAAGAAAGAAAGAGTGAAAGAAAGAATATTGGGAAGGGAAAGAGACGAGGCTGAATTTCTTTACCGTTAAGTTTTGATAATGTGGGAGTTTGTACAT